CTCCGCTCCCTCACTCCCTCCTTCCAGCCAAAGGGTCCGCTTCGAGCACTGGTCTGAACTGGGGGCTGACCCTGGGATGGGAGCAGGTGCTGGGATGCTTTGCCAGCATCCCCAAGGAGCGAAGGCACGGTGGGGCTCCCCGAACCGTGGTCCAACCACGGGCACTCACCTAACGATCCGTTCATGTGATGGGGCTCCATGCCACCCATGCCACCCATGGGGCCGTCAGAGCCGGGGCCCATCGGGAACTGCGAACAAAAAGGCAACAAAACCAAAATCAGCCACAAAACCACCCTGCGTGTCTGGTGGCTCCTGGGGACCGTCCCCTCCCCAGCCATCCCTCCGGAGCAGGGCGAGAGGAGGGACACATCCACCCTCCGAGGCTGTGGGGCACCTCTGGAGGCTCAGGGGCCTGTGGGTTCACCTATAAAATTTGGCTGGATGAGTGTGGGCAGACCCAGACCCACAGCAGTGGGTCTCCCACATCTCCCACAGAGAGATACCTCCAATTATTTAAAAAGATTTAAGTCTGCCCGTGTCCCACAGAACTCAGCACTGCACAGGGCACACAGCTGCCACCACCTCGGCCGGAGCGGCAGGACCGCCACTCTCTTAATAAGCATAAAAAATTAACAAAGTCGCCAAAGAGTTAATCGCTTTTTGATGGTTTGTTTTATTTCTGTTTTGTAACAAATGGCTGAAATCAATTAAACTGCTTTACTCTCAACTGATGAAGTTAATTATGATTTGTTATGGTATCTGATATGTAAATTATTAGAAAGCAGACTTACATTCGATCGACTGCCTGCGGGCGGTACTGGATTAATCATTGTGTAGATGTTGTCACTTGAATTTGTTGAATCTGTGGAACAGTGAAGCCCAGTAAGTCGGGTGATTAATTCATTTCTTAATTAAAACAAACTCATGCCACTTGAACTCATTCTTTTGTATTTTATCACCTAAAATTCCCTCTAAGTACCACCATTTTCTGGCTAATTTGTATTTAATGAAGATCCACAAAGTTTTTAATCACAGAAATTTAACTGTGAAAAATAATTCAACTCCTGGCTGGGAAGCACGGGGAGGTAATTCTCCTCCATGTAGGACTCCTCACCTTCCCACCTCATCCAAATCCACGGGGGGATACGGGAACACCCCCAGATGCCATCCCAAAGACAAGCAGCCCACACCACTCGCCCCCAGACAGGCAAAAGCTACGTAAATTCGTTAGCAAAGGCTGGGCAGTGGTTGCCCGTGCTCAGTGGTGCAGCCCCAGGTATGGGGGTCTCGAGGCAGAGGAAGGGCCAGGAGCCCCAGAGGGCTGGCCCCGGTGAGGAGGGGTCTCGGTGGGTCTCGTACCTGCAGGACTGGGCATGATGGGTGTCCCCGGAGGACCGCCGCCGCCGGGCGGACCCTGTGGAGAGACAAAGTGGGGGTCAGCTGTGCGAACACGAGCGTCACCCACCTCCCCGCCTTTTCAAACACCTCCCCCAGCCGG